TATTTTATATTATATTATATTATATTTTATTATATTATGTTATGTTATATTATATTATATTATATGATATTATATTATATTATATTATATTATATTATATTATATTTTACAATATTATGTTATGTTATGTTATGTTATGTTATGCTATATTATATTATAGTATCTACATTATATTATATTATATTACATTACCTTATATTATATTATATTATATTATATTATATTATATTATATTTTATTATATTATATGATATGATATGATATGATATTATATTATATTCTATTCTATTATATTATATTATATCTATAACCATGGGCACCGGGTTTCGGAACTCGGCAGTTGCTGGATATCGCCGCCTTGCACCGCTGCACAGTTACGACGGGGTCCTGACACTACAGTGCCATTTTTTCCCTCTCGCATGGCAGAGAACGGAGCTCACAGGCGAGGTTGGATACAGTGCCATTAGGTTTAGGGTTTAGGGGTTCAGGGTTTAGGATGCTTCGTGTCCTCGTACCTCCATCTGTTGGGGAAGGCTTGTGCAACAAGGGACTGTGATATGTTTACACGGCTCTGAAATGCTCTGAACACAGCATCTAAACTGGGGTTTCCGAAAATAGGGGACCCTAATATAGTCCACTAAATAGTAGGATCCTTATTATAAGGACCCCCAAATAAGGTATTTTCGAAAACTCCCAAACATGGCCAAAGAGTAGAACTGCCTGCCCCGGCTGCTTCGTAAATCTCCTTGGCCTCGTTTGCCCGACGCCTGTGCCAACGGAGCTGACGTGAGCGCAAATGCCCCCCCCCCCCCCCCCTCATCTGAGTCAGAAGCAACTTCATTCAAGTCCAAAGGCCTGCAACTAAACCACTACGCTTGGAAGCAGCATCCCTATTGACCAGGCCTGCTCTGTTCGAAGTCTTGCAGCCCCAGGTACGCCTTTGGCAACTTTGTGCGCAAAGGATGTCACACTGATGCCGCTGCATGTGCCGACGACTGAACAACTCTGCAAATACAGGCAAGCATCGATTGAAGTCGAACCACAAGACTCTGCAGAAATGCACAGTCAACCACAAACATACAGCTCTGAAGCCTCAGATTACAAAGAGTACTCAGCACCATGAACCACGAAGAAGCAACTTCCACCATAAAGCCAAGATGCTGCAGACTCGAGGAGCAAGGCAGTGGTCTCGAGCTTGGGTTCCTCCATAATATGTGCGAAAGGCAGGACGATTCAATTTGGAGGACGACAGCAGAAGCATCCTCTCCAACAAGAAGATTTCTGCGGAGCACTGATTTCCGACGTCTCCAGCTTCTACATTCGAGATACGGCCCTCGGTTCAGGACCACCGGTTCCATTTTGTCAGGATTCTAGCATTCTAGCTGTACCGGTACTCGTGCTAGTGCTACCTATTGCTGTGATCATCGTTGCTGTGCTGGCTTGTCGCGGTAGCTGCTGTTGCTGTTGCCGCAGCAGCGACATGGTAGTGGTAGTGTGCCCAGTGCAGCTGGAGGACCACATGGTAGTGCCTGTTGACGATCTGACCCATGACTCCGGCTCCGCCCAACACCCATCCTAGCAGTACGAGTCCCCGTATCCCTAAGTTTCAATTTTGATATTTTATATTGGGGTGGGGGGTCATGCAGGATTGCCATCATCTGCGTGGTCCCCGGGGTGCACTTTCGTCTTCGGAACTATCACAAGTAGCCGCTGGTTGCGGTAGAAACTCATGCAGGGTGTATATCATGTATGCAGCAGTTCTCGTCGCAGTAGTATAAGTAGTAGGACGAATGGTAACCCCTCCCAGCGAGCGTTCTACATCCCAGCGCGGAGATTCGAGTCCGCGAAGTTAGGAAGGTAGACTCCGAAGAACATGATAAGCGCCAGGTCAGTGAGTCAAACACCCAAAACCTCTAGCCCCAAAGACGGACAGGAGGTTCTATGTTAGCACCTAAACTTGGTTGTTTAGAACAACTTTCGCTCACTTGCAGCCCAAAGACGTGCAGCGCCCGGAAAACGTCCAGCGCCTCCTGTTCCGGCTTCAGAGGAGTCATGGGGTTCTGCAGGGGATCTGGGTCGCAGGAAGCATTCCGCGTGTCTTTTCGTGCGGCGTTCCGAAGTTGTGCCCTTCCCCCAACATTGCGTAGAAACACCAATCATCGGCTGCAACGGAACCTCACCCAGCTCGCGCTCGAGGCAGGCAGAGTAGTCACTTCGTACAGCTTCATTCGAGGCAACAACGCCAAATCCGGAAGGCCCAACATGAAAGACAGGTTAAAAGTGAGTGCACGAGTGTCACTCTTGGAAAAAGTGTAATGTAGGGGCCTGATAATTAGAATAGGCGTTTGGGGCCCATTGTACCATAATTCTCATAAGGAACCCTCAGAATAATATATAGGTCGTTAATTAGGCCCCTATATTATGTCAGAGAGTCGGAAATCAAGTTGCAGGTTCCTGGGCAGCATGCAGAGCGGCTTCCCAATCATGCAGCGCCAGATTGATGTTGGCGAGGCCTGGCAGCCAAGATGCTGGGATTCATTTCACCACTGGAGCATCAAAGCAGGCAAAATTCAGAATATCCGGGGTCCTAACTCACTTTGCAAAGGGGCCCCTGGATTCTACATTTTGAGGGCAGAATGCTACCATTGCTTGGCTTTGCAGCTTGATACATCTTGTCGGAATTTCTGCAGAGGGACCACGTCTCGAACGTGCCTTCGCCAAAACTTGTGCCGACTTTACAATAACTTGCGCACGACACGCGGGTGTTGCAAAAAACAGATCCACGACTCGGGCAGTTCTTGTGTCCACAGGCACGATACTACAGAAGAAAGCCTTCGGTTCAAGTTCTGTGCGCAGGATGGAACAGAGACAGAAGTTAGCAGACCGCCACTGTGTCGCCCCAGAAAATATGCTGCAACCAGGTGGCAGTGCAAACAGTAGCCCAGCTCCTGGGACCGCTTGTTTTACAGATTTTACAATGAAGAGCACGCCAGAAATTGCAGCATTGGCACAACAAGGTTGTCTCAAACTTAGCTCACCACATGAGGCCCGAACGGCCCCAAAAATTAACAAATCCCGATCATGCAACTTCGAACTTCCAGAAATCTTGGAAAGGTAAGTGTCGACACTTCTTTCCCGGATGTCTTGGAAGAGCGCAACGGCCTCCTGATAGGTCGCAGGTTCATGTGGACGAATGCATGGTTGTCCACTGAGAGGTTTGGAATTGGGGACGAGCCGCGAAGATTGTCGTGCCTGAAACTCTCGCACTCCCGGGACCCTAAACCCGGAGGTTGTAGATCACGGGCTTTGCTTCAGGGCTTCAGGCAAACGTTCTGCCACTCTGCCCATCTGCTTTTGAGGCCTTGGGCTGCATGCTCTGGACGACTGATACGTCCGAACTCTCTGCTGCCACGAATTCACTTCGGTGTGGGGTCGCTGGGACTGAAGTCCGCTTGAAGATCACACCTACCCGGTGAAGGAAGAATGGGTTCCTGTGAGGCCCCCCGACGAAGTCTATCTGACCAAACGTAACATTATGGATGCGCAGTCAACAGCACCTATGCATTCATCAGTTTTCACTTCTGCAAGTGAGGCGCTGACAATCCAAAATGTTCTCACCCTGATCACGGGCTTCAAGACTCCAAGAAGCCCGCCGTCCCGATGCACGGTCCTTCGCTGCACGCCTCGCATCCTCCAGGCTGCCCTCCCGCGCTTTCTCGACACCGCAAAGGAGGAACCTGAACACAACTGTGGCTTAGAGTTTCCTAGAGGAGTTGCAAGCTTTGCAAGCTTTTGTTCCCTACAAAGCCACGAGGAGATGGAGGCACATAGCAGCAAAACGCAGGAGTCCCAGGCGAAGTGGCTGGATTTCTGCCATAAGCGCCGCGATCTGTGCTCTTCCGCGCTTGTCTCCGGCCTCACCAATACATGCACATCTCTCTGCAAAGTCTATCAAGGTGTTGACTTGCGCAAGACTGCAGAACACATCGGCCACATCGGCATCACTGTGAAAGGGTGCGCAAGTCATGCAAAGTTGGGGCAATTGACAAGAGCTGTCGCAACCGGAAAGATGCAGGATCGACTCTTGCTTGAGAGCTCCAGCATGCAATGTGTAGCTTGCAACGGACTACGTCCAACAATTCTGCTGCAATGCAAGAAAACCCGGAGGAGCAGCCATTTGGATTAAACTGCAGCTTTGGGCCCTCAACAAGTCAGTGCAGCCGCGACTAACTACAACCCCTTCCAGAAGACACAAACAATCTCCATGACCGAATCCAGTCAGAGTCGTACCTTGCGGTAAGCCAACGCTGACATCTCCGTTGCCGCCAACGCCTGCAGACCGGAAGACACAGCTACACTTTCGCGGCATCCGCTCAGAAAGCCGAAGCTCAAAGTCACATCCAACAGCAGTAACTAAGAGGTTCGAGGCCACTGCGTCACCTTTCTGTATAATTCTCCGGCTGGGGTTGGGTGGTGCCGGCTGACAGCAGGACTCCTTTGAAAAAGAATAGCCAACTGTCATTCATGATGCTGCTCCTACTCCTCCTTCTGCCGCTACTGTTCTGACGACGGCGACGACTAAAACGACGATTGACTACTGCTGCCACCACCACCGACACAACGACGACGAGGAGGACACCACTAGCCTACCCAAAACAAAGCCGCTAGCAACACGACATGTACAACTGCTGTCGCAACCATCGTCTGCATCTTCGTCTGCACGACCATCATAACCAGAATGCTCTGCATCGGCTGCATAATCGCCACAGCCCCGCTCACAAGGCCGCGACCTCCAACTTCCTCGTCCTCCTCCTCCTCATCATCATCATCATCATCGATATCATCAATACACAGCAAAGGTAGCAACGAATGTTGGCACTGCTAAACCAAGTCTTTGACACCAGAACCCTCTCAAACAACTCCCAGCCTTAGATAGGTCTTTCCTTGGCCGACATTCGCAGTGCAAACACTGTGCACACGGTTCAACTCAGTCAGACAGCGAGACACCGATGCTGCCTTCGCAGATGCAGTTGCATCTGCCACTCGTAGCATTGCCCCGCTTCAGTGCAATGCTCCGAGAATAGCACTCGGAGCTCAATCATCTAAGCTAGCCGGAAATCCTCAATCCCCAAACCTAGCAGCCAAGATCTGAATCTGCCAGAAGGATCCTAAACCATCCATACCATAATTCCCGAGATAAGTACTCGCCAAGCTGCCGCTCCATGTGGATCTGGGTGCTGAGATGCCATGCCTGGCAGCTCTGTTTGTCGCAGCTTGGGGCCCTTGCCGCCCTTGCCAAGCGCGACGTCGCTACTGAGCCGCTACTGTACCCATGAAGAATCATGAAGAAGCAAAAGCAAACAGTGCGTCGCCGCGTGGCGAAGTACAAGACAACAAAGTTTGACATTTCGCTCCGCGGGCCGTTTTGTCCGTGTGTGATTTCCCACTGCCCGCAAACCTCAGGGAGTGGAACGGAGGCATCAGAAGCCACTCTCCAAAATGATCGGAACCAGGCAGAGGGTCCAAATAGCCAAGCCTGCAGATCCCCCCTATAAAAGTACCTAAGGAACTCGTGGCACCACTTCCAAGAAGACTCGCCCAGAAGACACACTGGGAACTTCTCGAGCGCAAGACAACGACACAAGGTCACATTCAATATATATATATATATATAACGTATAGTATAAAGAACCTAGAACACTACAGGTAATATGTACACACACACACGCATATATATATATATATATATTGTAATATGCAACATATAACTTTAGCCTGAGCATCACCAGAAAACGATTCTCTCAGCTCAGTACTTTCGAATTCGCCACAGGACACTTACTTGCGAAACTGCCCTACGAGAACACACCCGATAACAACGGTCCTAGCCGCGACAGTTGTCCACAGAAAAAGTGTACACCGACCCATCACCATGAAGCCATCCGGGGGGTCGACCTTGTTTAAAGGAAACTACAGGTGGTGAGTTCAGGATATATAGGGCTTCTATAAGGCTTCCATAAGGTATATAGACCTTTTATAAGGCTCCTATAACGGTAACTACCCACCTGAAAATGCCCTAGACTTGTACTGTGAACACCATAGTCAGACGGATATACCTATGACTTATGCATGACTAAGGCTTGTAATTCTGAAGGGCCCCCTAATCCAAAACAGATACCGGGGAGTTTCTGAAATATCAAACCCTAAACTCCAGAGCACTAAACCTGTACTTTCCTAGCAACCGCAAGCCCGAAACCCTGAAAACTGGCCCTCTCGGCCTTCAACTTGCAGAATTTTACAAATCAAGCCCCAAACACCCAGAAATGCGATTATTTCCCGCCCGCCCAGCAGAAAATGTCACACCGCAGGGCTCTCGATAGAACTGAAGTTGAGGGGGAGTCCCAAGGCGAATCACACTCTCTGCAAAGTCACGTCTAACAACAAGTGGGTAATTCTCTACATTCGGGTCCCTTTTAAGGTCCCCCAAACAGTACGGCGCCCTTATAAAAAGGACCCTAAAAGTGACCCCAACTTAGACAACTACCCAAGTGCGCAGCCAGTACTGTAGCAGAGAATGTAAGCCCGTCAGGCCTCCCGGTTCCTAGCAGTGCAAGGCGGATTGAGGCGCCTACTATAGCCAGAACAAGCCCAGTAAAAGATACCCAAGAGGTGCTGATTTTTAGAGGTCAGGAGAAAGGGCTCAACCTTGAACGACACCCTACACACCCCTTGACCCTAAACCACACGCCGAAACCCTGAACCCAGTGAAGGCCAGCAGTTGCACATATTTCCGACAATCTCGATCATTGGAAAGCTCCCACTTTAAGCAGCGCAATCCCTAAACCCTTCTATTCTATTACATTCTATCCTACGAGGTTGATTAGATTCTTGAAATATGCTGAACTTATCCTATAGAAAACCCCAAACGCCAAGCCGCCAGGCCTTCGCCTCGCGCGGATCCCCGGCCGCCGCCAACTTCGGCGCCGCAGCGGCCAGGGCGCCTAACGCCGGCTCGAGACGGCCCTGGGCCTGTCATAACTAGGGTTTAGGATTTAGGCTTTAGGGTTTAGGATTTGAGATTTAGGGTTTAGGATTTAGGGTTTAGGGGGTTTAGGGTCGAGGTATGTCTGGCACAGGCGACGAAGGCTCTTTGGCCAATTGGGCGAGGCTGCGATATTCACACCCTCACAAATCCTTTAGGGTTTAGGGTGCCTTGACCACCCCAAGAAATCCTACGTAGCCCTTGTAGGGTTCCTTATGGTGATCTCTTTATATACGTCCTAAAACGCTGCGGGGGCTAAGGTAGGGTTGCTGCTTTTAAGTAAAGACTGTCTTAGCTAAAAGCAGATCCTTTAAGGGTCTGTAAAGGATTCTACCTATATTTTTCGTTGCCGGGTTCTGTTTAGGGGATCCTTTTCGAAACGAGTTCATTCGAATATCTTCAAACTACATGAAGGATATCAGTATAGCCTATTTAGGTGCTAAGGAACATTTCCGTTACGTTGCTTGTTGTATCCTGTATGGCCAGACCGTTTGCCCAAGACCCAAAAGGCGATTGGGTGGGGTTGGGGGTTGAAAAGGACTGAACAGGCAGAAGCCAGCATAGGCTTAAGAAAGCATGCGGAACGTGAGGGAAAAGGAAGGTGCTGCCAAGCTTTTGCTCGGAATGTAGAATTGCAATGATGTCGTACGTGTTGTTGGAGATGGCCATCTGGGGTCTTGGAGTGTCGCATCTCTGCAAGGGCTTGGGACCTGTATTGTGCGGTATATTCGTTATCGTCATACACCAAATCCTATCGGGGCCCTGTTACAGTGCGACTCCACAGAAAACCGCACAAAACCATTCTGATTCCTTGAACATGTCAGCCCTGAAGCTTTCAGGGGATCTCTGGCTTGGCACTTTCAACACTCCAAGCTTTCGATAACTTTGCCCTTCACTGGTTGAGAGGGGGGGTGTCGTATTGTGGGATTTTGGCACTCAGCTACAGGCTTCCGGGCCTTTCCCTGTGGGAAGTGTCAAACAGGCCAGGACCTGAATACAGGACCCCTTCCTTGTTCATTTCATTCCTTCAAGGACTTACAAACTTTCGGGGAGGGGCGCTGAGATGCCACTCTTTGACACGACTCCGGCATGTAGATATGCGCATACAGGCACATACGCGTATGCATGCATATAAATGAATAAACAATTAAATAAATACACATATATATATATATGTAGTGTTTGGTACATGTTTGTATTTGTAACTGTATGCATATCAAGAGTATGTATATATATGTATATCTGTCAATATTTCTTTTGTTTTGAATACATATATATATATATGTGGTACAGTTTAATGATGTATGTGTGCGTGTGTGTGCATGCCGTGTAATACGTAGAATAAAGTGTTGAAAGCTAGGGCTTCGCCACTCATACTTGGACTCATGTATCTGGGTGTGTGACGGAATCTCGAGATGCACTTCCTTAACGCCAACCAGAAAGAGCCCTGCCATGTTAGGAGGTCCACTGCTCAGTTGCATGTTCAGGATTCAGGAAACTAAGCCCTAAACGGAATTTACTTCATGACCCCAGCATTGGCTTGATGTCTTGCACGATCTGCCAACTCGTAAGTGCAAAAAAGTCGGCCAGAAGTTCAAAACGTCCAAAGCCCTACGTGTCATGATGCTAGAAGCAGAAGCTTACCCACCCTGCGGAAACTTGCCTGCAGAAGCTGCGCGCTGATGAGCAGCCTTTATTTTCCCAAAAAACATCTTCCAATTTTGTTGCTTCAGCAGATAGCAAGATGCAAGATGCTGTTTTTGGGTCGGGTCCGGGACGTCGGGTATAAGCCGATCCGGCCACTGTTTGCCAAAGCCTCAAGCTCAAGAAAGCTTCAGAAACCAAACTCAAATGGGGTTTTCCGAGAATAGGGGACCCCAATATAGTACTCTAAATAGTAGGATCCTGAAAAAAGGACCCCCCAAAAAAAGGTACCCCTTATTTTCGGAAACATCCAAATGGGCCCGCTAGTCTCAACCCGCAGGAACCCCGTCTGTCTCAAAAAGCCCTAGCTGGAGCTTCAGGTCCCATAGAAAGGGGACTGCGAGCCGCCCAAAGGAAAGAGTAGGGTTTAGGCTTTGGGGTTTAAGGCGAAGCGGCATACTTTCTCTCTCATGGGGGCGAAGTTGTTATGTAAACCCACATGAACAAGCTTTACAACCCCCAAGGCTAATGGCAAAGAAGCCCCGGCAAAAATCTGAGCTGCCAGCGTCCACCCTTCTCCTCTCTTATCTTTGGCTGCCCGGAACTGCTTCAGCTGCTCCTGCTCTTCTTCCCGGCGACTTCCAAGAGACTCAGAACTTTCATCGGAGGCACCGACTCGACCAGGAAACCACACAGGCCCTTCGTTTAGGGTTCATGGTTTCGACTCACACACTCGCTCTAAGCAGGCATGGCAAAGAGACGTCCAGGGTTTATGATTTAGGGGTTTACGGGTTTCGACTCTCACTTTCGCAAGGGGTTTGGGGCTTGATTCGCACAGCTTCGTCGTTTCTGTGTTTGGGCGCCTTCCTCCCTCCCTAGGGTTCCTGCTTACTCCAGCCACCCGAATAAAGCACGGAGCTTCGAGAATCCCAGCAAAGGATCCCGGACTTCCCATCTGAACCTGCAAACATAAATTTCGAAGCTTGTCTTCTCTTGGAAAAGTGGCGGCACAGCGGCAAACTGAACAAGATTTCGCTTTAAGTTGAAGCTGCACCAGCAGGATTCAGTACGCCATCCTGAAAACCGCGAACCCTTCCTGCCAGCTCTTGAAGTTTTGGCCCAGACGCCCTCAGCCCTTAAAACGGGGTCCTCGAGATAATGGAGAGCCTCCGTAAATTTGCCGAGCTGTGCCAGGGCAAACGCCTGGGGCCCAGGATGTGAAGCTTAGTCTCTCACAAACGTGGCATTTAATAGCAGCAACAGTGCCGGTAGTATTACACGCAAAAGCAGCAGTAGCAGTAGTAGCCGTAGTAGTAGGAGCAGCAGCAGCAGTAGCAGTAGCGGAATTGCAGTAGTGGTAGCCGTAGCGGTAGCAGTAGCAATAGCAGGAGCAGGTGCACTAGCAGTAGTAGCAGCAGTAGTAGTAGTAGTAGTAGCAGCAGCAGCTGCTGCTGCCGTAGCCGTAGCCGTAGCGTAGGAGTGGCTGTACGACAGTAGTAGTAGTCGTCGTCGTCGTTGTAGCAGTAGTAGCAGCGGCAGCAACAGCAGCAGCAGCAGTATGTAGGACCTAAGAGATGTCGACTGTGACCAATGTTGCTGGCACTGGTGGTGAGAGTACGATGGGAGTACGATGGGTAATCTCGTCACTACGGCCAGGGCAGCCTCAACAGCCACGACGGCAAGCATCATCGTCGTCGTCGTCATCATCATCATAATAATATCATAATGATCGCTGTCATCTTCCTTATCATCCTCGCCAGTTGCCTCATCATCTGTATCCTCTTCCACCGCCTCCTCCTCCTCCTCCTCATTGGTATCGTATTGATCGCCGCTGGCATCATCAACAATATCGCGCTCGCCATCAACAGTTCAACAATGTCGCGGCATCAGCAGCGTGTATAGCCTTTACTCTGGCTGTTATCCTGCTCTTCTTCGGATTCCTTCTCCAGGTTCATCCAAAGACGAAGCCAGTGCAACAACGGCATGGAGGTAACTTCACAACCATCAAGCTGAAGAACTGTCACTGTGAGAGTAGCAAGAAACTCTTAGAACGTCCTCCCCCCCACACGAAGTTGATTCATGTTTGAAGTAGAGTCGTAAACTTTCGCGAGGCCATGAAGTCTAGTATCATCACGCAAGCGGCAAAGCCCCATCTGACTTCCTGCCTGGGTGTTGATGCTCGTCAGCTGGCTTTCGCGAAGTTCCTGACTTCAACGGCCAAGACCCCCAAAGCCCAAACTTCGAGCAGGGCCGCTGCTCCCAACAGTATGGTCGTTGCATGTGGGGAGGTTCTTACAGCTTAGGAAGGTTGGATATCGAGAGTCCCCAGATTATGCCTGACCAGAGCAGCAGCCGAACACCATGGTTTGCAATGGCGCACGTTTGTTTTGTGGTTTCTGGTGACTCCAGCTCTTTGCTACTGCTGCTACCGGCTGTATGCTTCGAGTGTAGTTTCCTAATCGGTCGTAGCCAACAAAGCCGCAAGTCACAGATGACCTGCTCAGCGAATGCATGAAGACGAGGGAGTGGAGCTGGACCAAACGTATCAGTTCAAATCTGTGCGCATGTATGTATTTGCAAAGCTGTATAATAACCTCGCTGATGTCCACATATGATCACATGCATGTAGGCTTGCGCAAGCACGCGCATAAAGGTGCGCCTAGATTTCGGTTTCATGTCAACTTACACAGGAGTGTAAGGAATGTAAACCCATGGGATCATTCATCGATTGTAAAGCTCTCTTAAGTACTTGGAGGTTCATGGGTAGTTATAAGTAGGGTCATAAGCACGGTAAAATATTTGTTCCCCATATTAGGGGACTTATAACCCCACTTTCAACTACCCATGAACCTCCAAGTATGCACGGCTGGCCCACCAACGAGTGCCTCGTCGACCAGGCCACAGCACTCGAACACGGCTGCTGCTCTTTTGGCGGAAACCAAGGCTTCGTCGAAGTCCTTGCCTGACTTGGGATCGCTCCAAGGCTCGATGGGAGGCTGAGAAACGGCTAGGCCGCTAGGTCCGCGCAGCAGATCTTGCGACTGGGTGTGCCTGCCCAAATTACCGTGTGAATGGATGTCAGGCAAGGGGCGGTCTAAGAAGATGGCAGCGCAGCGTGTTTGCGCCCTTGCCTCGCCTGATAATGCGTTTTCTTGGCGAGCTTCAGATTTAGAAGTCCTGCGAACTCTTGCAGTCTAAGCTTCCATTGTGGGTGGACGCAAGTGTTGCAAAGGTAATTATAGGCAGGCAGCAACCTAGGCCACTGTAACGACATGTTTGCGCTTTTGCAAGTCTGCCAATGGTACCGATGTGCCTGCCGCATCTTCACCTTCCTGGAAAACAGCGACGGCTGCCTCCCAACAAGCAGAGACGGCACAGTTCGTGACAACAAATCGTGTTATCACTATTCGACACACAAGTAGAAGCTGCAAATAGCTGCAACACGGTAGAAAGGGGGATTTTTTTGACAAGCCTAGTTGCATCACTCCAGTTGGACATCTGTGCTTCCATCCGGACAACCCTGCGCTCACATCATGACGGCGTAGCGGCG